AGAGGTTTGCGATCTATAGTTTAAGAACCGTGCTTTAAGTAATTCATTTTTTCCAACTGATTTAAACTACGTTTATTTTAACTAAACTAGCAAATTTTTCTTGGGCTATTTGCGAATTTGTATAATAGCTTAACTATGAAAGATGATGTTACTGAAAAATCCACTATAAAATAATGAAATTTGCGGTCACAGCAGTTAATAATGTGATTGAGTGTGTCAAATTTGCACAATTTCAAAAATATACTCGATATCACTTATTTACGTTAGAGAGAATTTTTTTTATTTTGCCTAGAATTGATATGCCCCTTCCCTTTCACTCCATGTCCACTTGACGTTGATTTGGAACACTATATATATATATATATATATATATATATATATATATATCGTCGTTGACCGGTGTTGGTGTATTCGGATATCAGAGGTCTCAGAAAAAACATCTTCAGAATTTTTTTTCATCTTGTTTAATTACACACACACATAACATAGATTGACAATTCACTGTTGTATTTCACAGATATTTGATAAAAACACGAAAACAGACACAAGCGACATAGCAATAGCAAGCAGCGACATTTCACATGACGAACACAAAAACAAAGATAAAAAAAGGGCGGGATTTCCAGATCTCGGTACTTGTAGCCAGCGGGACATCACATGATTTAGGAGGTAGATGGATATAGTTTTGAAGTCCCCGGTAGGTGGGTAGCTAATTAAAATAATTACATGGTTGTCCTAAAGGACTGGATCCTAAATAATTCAAGAGCTATTAAAGTTTACAGTTCTGGGAATTATTTCATAAATATCTTATTTATAATTGATACATTGACTTAATAATAATTGACATAATCCCCCCATTATGCTTATAAAATTTATTTCAATTCAATTGCAAGTTTATTGAAAAGATTCAAAATGCATCATTTACGAATAGAGTAAATTTACGAATAGAATCCCGAAAATTTGGCCTAATGTAGACCGAAGGGTGGTCGAGTTTTTGTAAATTCCAGGTCACCGAGAATAGAATTAAAAAAGAATGAGAACGAGTGTCTTTTCAGAAAGTATTGTACTGCATATGCATGTTTTGTTTTCTTGAGAGTACAGCAGAAAATAAACTGTTCAAATGCCTTTGAACAAAAAAAGTAGGGTACTTTACGAAGGTGTAGAGTATTTACACCATGAAAACGAAAATTAATGATTATATTGTATAATATAACTTATCTAATTAGACTCACCACAGAAAAATACTTTATAACGACATAAAACTTAGCTATAATGAAAAATAACTAGCTGACTTTTCAAAATCTAGCTACTTTTTCAATTCCTACTATTATATATACACTGGTGTGCAAAAATTAAGGACGAAGTCGAAAAATTAGCATATCATTAATAATTGAGTGCAGCATAGAAAGATTATGTTTTTCATATGTATTAAAGGAATAACCGAAAATATCCAAGATTGAAAAATGTAATAAAGGAAAACAAATTTTATGGCAGAATAAAAATTTTTATTTTTTTATTTTTTCGCTTGAAGTGGTTCGAATTTAAGTGGGAGACAATAAACTCTTTGAGATACCGTATAGAAGAAAATATATTAATAAATGTGGAATTGGGAAATACTTTGTTGAGAAATAGGGAATAAAAATAGCGGGGGTCCTTAAGAAACAAAAATAGACCAACATAAGCCGATTTCTTTGTTTTGATTGGATGTTTAAATTAGAATTGTTTTTTCAAAAGCAGAAATGTAATATAGTTTTATAGAAATTAGTAGAAACGGGGAGGTAACTTCATTATATTGCACCCATTTCTCTCCCATGGGGAGAAACATCTACTGTATTTGACATTCTAACACATTATTTTCTATTACACATTCAAAATTAGAAAAATATCATCATATTTCTTACTTACTAGCTGAGAAGTACCCGTTATTCTGACGGATTAACTTTTTAAAAATAAAAATACTGTTCTAAATATAATAGCTGAATTGCAAGGAAAATAAAATACGGTTAAAAAAATATGCAGAAAAATGTAGAATAATTAATGAGTACTCTCATTATTTGTGTATGACGCCCTCTTACGTCCTCACAACGCCCCTTGTGGGTTGATGATTTTCGCAAACCCCTTTTATAAGCGTATCTCTGCTCCATATTTGTAGGTCAAATGGTTCTTAAACAGTAACATTTATGTATAATGCCCCTTGGGGGTCAATTTTTACAACCTCCTTTCGTAGCAGACCTCTACTCCCTGAAAGGAACGTGCCCATAAAATTTTAATGTACATCTGATAGTTCAAAAACAAAAATATTTATTTATAATGCCCCTTAAACCGTAAAAGCTCCTTATGGGCCAATTTTTTCCAAACCCCATTTTGTAGCGTCTCTACTGCATGAAAGGCACTCGCTTGCTAAATTTCAAATCTTTTGGTCTGATATTTCAAAAATATTAACATTTACCTATAATGCCTCTTAAGCTTTTGCAACGCCCTTTGGAGGTCAAATTTCGTGAACACCCTTTTATAGCGGATCTCTACTTCAGGAAGGGAACTAGCCTACAAAATTTCGAGTTTGTAGGTCTAATAGTTCAAAAACATGAATATTTATATATCATGCCCCTTAAACCTTCGCAATGTTCCTTGGGAGAAAATTTAGATAAAAAAAATGGGAAACTTCTTCATGGAGGGTGGACATAGAGTAACCACCCTTGATTGTACTGGGAAGTTTCTGAGTTTTAGCGGTACGTACAATGTACACTTTCCTTTATAACATATATTGATTATATAGATGTCTCTTTCAGATTTTTTTTCTGAGAATTTATCAAAAATCATTACAAATCTTAATTATATCTCATCCATGTGTTTCATCCGTTGAGATCTCTATTCATGTATTCATCTAAACATTTATATCGATGTACAATATAATTGTATAGGTAAACATGTGGATTTTAATATTATAGCATTGTTTCTGTTATTTTTAATTCTTCGAATGCCAACGATAGATGCTAAAAGAGGAAGAGAAGAAACTAATTAAGATACTGACGTAATATAACGTGGACAAATTTCGCCTATTCTAAAAATAGCATCCAATCAAAAGACATGGCCAAATGCTGCCATTGTATGCGCAAACAAGATTGTTAGGTTTAAACATACATGGGAATGGATTTTCCACGTTTGGCTGCACATCGCAGCCAAACTGGCCAATGGCTTACTATGTGAATACCCTAATTAATTTACAAAACTGAGTGCATGTTTCTAAGCTTATTTTTGTCATCTTGTTTATGGATTTTCGTGTCATAAATTTAAAATAGGTCCAATAACTTAAGGACCTGACATCTGATATGTTAAGAAAGAAAACCGTTTCAGATAGGTTAAGGAAATAACATCAGTTTCCTTTTATAGAACTGGTGTAAAATAAAAAAGAAATTGTACTGACAAAAATTCTAAAAATCACAATTACGGATTTTCTTAAAAAGTCAATGAAAAAACAGACAAACTAAAAACAAAATTTTGCATCTAAACAGAACGGTATGAAAAAGCGCATAAAAAGAGTTGCACAGAAGATTTGTAACTTAGAATTTCATAAACTTTTTGCAAAATTTTCGAAGAAACTTCAACTTTTTAACGGAGGTTGAAACTCTTATTTTTTTCTGCTACTAATTTAAAAGCGGTACCCTACACCAGGTGTGGCGAACCTTTATGAATCAACGTGCCATTTTTGTAAAGAAATGCTTCATGAGGTATAGAGAGACGTGCCATATCAAATAATTTTGACATGCGATTATTGGGAAAATAATAAAACTAAATACAATCAAACTCAAAACTCTTTATTTACTACGAAAAAATACATTTTTTCACAGTATAGTAGTGAATGTTTTAGTTATACGTGTAATTCAAGTTAAAGTAATATTTGTGTGACTTCTGTTGTTTAAGAATGTGTGTGTGTGTGTGTGTGTGGATGAGACAAATAACATATTAGGATTGTAAGATGTTACTTTTAGTAGAATGCTTTTAGAAATGCATACTTTTAGCAGAATGCATGAATTGAATTCATCTGCCAAAAGGTTTCTAATTAATTAATTATTTTTGCTGTGGTTCACTTTTTTCACAAGGGGATTTTTTATTTGTCTCAAAATGTCGTTTTACAGACGATGTTCTGCATACCCTGGTTCCAGAACATAAAACACACACCACTTAGTCGCCTTTTCTAATCACATGCCATGTTTCTAGATTCATCAAGTTTGAAGTTTTCTGTTAAATTTACTATCTTGCACTTTTTGATCTTTTACTGACTAGTCATGTTAAAAATACCAGTTAAAAGTCGTAAATATAACACAAATAAACTTTAAAATACAGTTGTGTTGACGAGATTGACTATGCTTTGCGTAGACAAATTTTGCATTATAAATAACTCTAGTTCAAGACGTAACTAAAAGACGATAACAAATAATTGTGATCCCCGTCGCCTTGCGACCGATCACTTGCGTTTGTTCGTAGTATTTCATAGTGAGTCTTGTATTTTGAAATAAAATGCAAACTATTGTGATCGCTGGTGTGCCATTGGTTCACCATCCCTGCTCTATGCATTACTCCGCCAAATAGTTGCAAAATTCCAACAAGTTAAAACGATAACATTACAATACGATAACATTAAACTGGCCGCCAAATATCTATTTGACATGATTTCAAAATTACGCCAAAAACGAGTAGCGTACTGGTATCCAATTTGGGTTCTTGTTTTTTTTTAAATAAACAAATAATATATAAAAAATTAAGTCAGCTCCTACTTAGGTCAACAAAGAAAAAAAATTATTTTAGTTACTTTCTATTAAATAGTTACAATTACAATATGTATTCTCATTTCCCTTTATGTCAATTTTCCGTTTCCCTTACTATATATAGTGTTAGACTATTTTTTGTTTGTTACGATTAATTCTTTAATTAAATTTAATTATCATAATAAAATAGTATAGTAAAAGGCATCAGCAAAATCCCATTCTTAGAAATTAGGCCATCCTACGTGGAATTCGAGTCCACGATTTTTGAATTAGGAGTCCGAAGCGCTAGCCATTGCGCTTCAAGGACCCAATGAACGGTTTTCCTTTCTATATATGCTGTTGGACTATTATTTTTGTGTTACTATTTACTCGTTTTTTTTAAATTTAACTATTGAAAAAAATTTGAACAAGTTTAATAAATATATTTGAACTTGAATGAATAAATAAAAAGTATTTTATCAACGATTGAAAATTATTTATATGTATATATATATATATATATATATATATATATATATATATATATATATATATATATATATATATATATATATATATATATATATATAATGTGTGTGTGTATAATAATTCCCAGTATTTTAATCTTTAATATCTCTTGATTTATTTATGGTCCAGTCCTTCAGGACAACCATTTAATTATTTTAAATAGTTACCCGCCTACGGGAACATCTAGAACTACATTCCCCACCCCCGAATTATGTTATGCCCCGCTGGGTATATATACAAAGATCATTGGAAATCCCACTCTCTTCTCTCTTGTGTCTGTGTATTTAATCATGTAGCCGGCTTCATTGCGTAGTTTCTTTGTTCTATGTAGTGTCGTCCATATTTTATATTTTAATGTGCCTATGTGTTTCATGATGTGCAATAAACTGGATTAACTTTCAATACTACCTTGTCAATCCCATCAGTATGTAACGTCACCTAAAATAGAAAATGCATATAACATGAGAAATCTCTTTCAATGGCCGCGCCCTATCCTTTGGTTCGTTACAATAACATCCACTCGCCACGACATTATAATTGTCATTACCACTCTCTAGAAATATGATATAGAAGTATTATAGAGAGTTAACTAATAGTTGGACTTGAAAAAGTCAGAAAAAATTTTTGTTTCCCACTACGATAACTAAGTAAATTGACACACCAGAAAATTCTGCTGAATAACATGTGCATTATAAAATCACAAGAAAATTTTTTTTTAAATATTAATAGAATAGTACTTTTTACACAAACTAAATAAGTTATTTTAAAATGTTTACTAAATGTCACTGTCAATAGATAACTGTACAATTGCTTCAGAGGTGAAAGCAATCGTTTTTCACTTTCGAGACATCTCAACATGGCAATCGCGACGGAGGAAATGGGGTGCTGCTCACCGTAAAGTTGGCATCAAGGCTTTGGTTTCATGAAAAATTCAGTTATCATTATTCTTCTCGTAAGAAAAGGATTTCTTTCTGGCGTGTCTGGCCTTCTTCTACCGCTATTAATTCGTTCAATGCTTCCACAAGTCATGTGGAAAGAAAATTGTTCTGTTTTTTGCCTCTTTACTTGATAAAAGTTCTGATGCAAGAAATGAAAATACAGTCGAAATCTTACCAACGGTGTGTGAAACTTATAGGAGGACAACTAAAGATTTGTATATTAAAACTCTCTCCCGTTGCGCTGTTATTTCTGGATTTAAAGCATTTAGCAAAGCTTTTTTTTCTTTCTTTCTTTTACATGTGTAGTACTCAATTCAACAAATTTTATTCTAAAGATATAAATTGAATTTTTTTAAATATGATGTTGATAGATTAATTATTGATATTTATCTTTTAATATCTTTGTTTATCTTATCTTTTTTAATAATTATTGATTATTATCTTTTATTTTTTTTATTGACCTTGCCATCATAAATAGTTTTGTACTGAGGCAAGTGAGCAAAGGAAACAGAAGTTTAGACCAGCTAACACTCCGTATATCACACCATTTCTCAAAATGTGGGGGTACGTGATAACTCACGAGGAAGGCACAAGCATCTTGAAAATTCGAAAACAAATAATTATTTTTAAAAATTAATAATTTTCTTAAAGTATAATCAAACAAAATAGATTTTGGAATAACAAAAAATAATATACACATTTACCCTAATATAATACACTTTATAAAAAATCAGCACTGCGCAAAGTATTTTATGATTAATTTAACAATACTAAGTTAAGGACAAATTTAATAATTACTAGTGACCCCATGGGCTTATCCTATATAGAATTATAAATAAAAATTCACACTTATATTGGTAATTTGTACGGTTTATAACTAATCCCTTAAATGCCGATTAAAAAATTACGCGATTCGCTCCACAATGCTTTCGTTTAACTGTAAACGAGCGTATTTGGTGTAGTGAGGGGATGAGTAGAAAAGGAACACAAATAAACAAGTTCTCTGAAATAAGTAAATCCTTCGCAAACACTGTCAAGGTCCTTTTATTGCATTCCAAAGCCTTCGGAATAATTTCATGGACAGTAGTGCACAGAAAAGATCGTACTTCCGAAAGACGTATATATACGTCTGGAGAAATTAACGCACTGACTGAGAGAGACGTTTATATACGCCTGTGGCACTTAAGAAGTTAAAGTCGTATTGTAGCTGTAGTGTCAAAGCATATTATTATTGAATTCAATACATTGTTATTGTATGGAAGGGGGGTTGCTATGGACACTATGAATGAATATTGTGTCGCAAATATTGAATGATTGAGAAGCATAGCATTAACACGTCAGATAATAGACGGATGTTCCTCAGGAAAAAGGAAAGGATGTTCTACTAGTTTCCAAGCAAATAAGTTTGTAGGTCCGGATGAGGTGCGCTTAGCCAATGTAGTTTCCAACTATGGATGATGCAGGCAATGTAGCAGAAAGGAACATTAAGGACCCGCTACATGTGTGCAGAATGTGATGTCTCCTTGTGCATTACAACAAGCTTCTCATCTTTTCATGGCAAATAATAACCATTATATTTAATTATCTTTATGACAATGAAAGGTTCATTGGGAAGTATTTTTCCCACCGCCGAAATTAAAATGTAAACATAAAATTCAGCAAAATAAAGTATATTTCCTTAAATGTTATTTTTAATTGTTCATAAAATATAAAACATTGCAAGAAATTCGAAAGAGAAATAAATAGCCCCGAAAGGGTTGATTAAGTATTTCAATGAAATTGTATGTTGTAAATGTGAAAATCTTCTATTTTAAAGTATATTTGGTACTTATTATATGTCAATTCGTCAGATGAAAAAGGATGCCAAATACCACAATATGTTGCCAATAATGGAAAAATTTTCCATCGTATGTAAAAGGACAATACATTTGTTCACTTATACCAGTCATCTTCTCAAAGTTCGTAGACTCACTGAACTCTTAGAATTATAAGGTATTTTGTGGGAACCTTATATACCAAAGATCTCAGATGTATAAAAATGAGCTATATAATCACGTAATATAATCATGACCTTGAAATTAAAACAAGTCCTTTTTTTTAAAAGATATAAAAATCCAGCAAATATTTCAACAGGAAAAACAAAACTTACTTAATAAACCGTCGATCAGTTCAAAAAATGGCCAATTCCAACAAAAAAAAAATTTAATGTCGCAAAATACTGTTATTGTTTTCGCTAACAAGATTAACGTACTTGAACATGAGTGGGGACATTTTTTTCGCTTTTGGCAACATATCGTGGTTTTTAGCAACATTATCAAATTATTGTATTATCATGAGTCCTGTACAAGTGTGTAAAATTTCGAATTAATGTGACTTTTTAAAGTGGGTAAAAATTGAGTTCAAAGATTCCGTTACATACAAGTGAAGCTCATCAAAGGGTGTTAAAAATGATTCCAAGGATAATATAATTGTCTAAATAAAAATTCGCTAAATTTGGCACACGCACACACACACATACCCTAAAATTTATTATTTTTTTCTATTCATCTATATTCACGTTGTTTTATTTTTTCCTTTTTTTTTAATGAAATACTGTATTAGAACTCAACTCAGATCCCCTTGTTGTCATCTATATTTTTTAATTAATTTTGTCTATATTTAGAAATTCAAGCTTTTTTTTTACTTTTTAATCCCCCCCATTCTATTTGCATTAATCTTTGCTGTTACTGAATATAGTTGTAGCGATCAGTGAAAAAAAAGTTTGTTTTTCTCATTACAATAATCCTTTATAAGTAAGTATAAAAAAGGTTATCTCACAAATCTAATCATGCGTAGATATTTTTTGCGAAACATCAGAATTTATGTAGTGCAGCTTTAAATATTGATTATTTCCAATTAATGGTTATTAGAAAAGATTATAAACTCTTTAATTGCAAATTTATTATTTAAATATTTCCGTGAAACATTTTTCTGATGGAAACAAAATTTTTTCTGGTTTTGAACATATTGATTTGAATCTTATTAGATTAATTCAAAGATATCAAAAAAATTTTCCGCTGTAAATTTCAGGCGTAGATATTTTATTTTACAAAATGGACTGCATTCAATTTAATTAAAGTAATGCATGAATCAAATTTAAAAAAAGTTTCTTAAAGAAATTAAATATTTTTATCAATTACAAGATAAATGCAACTACAAACATTTTAAAAGCATGACCAACTAGAAAATTTGACGTACAAAAAAGTGAACAAAATGTATTATCCTAGCAAAATATAAGAAATTGGAGATTTCACACTAAAAGTTTAAAGTATTGGTTGGTTTGAAATAAAATAGAGAAAAATGGCATTTTTTTAAACGAAACAAAGTATAACAAAATAAATAATCGGAGAAAGAAAATAAAAATGGTTAAAGGACACTTCAGTTTCAAAGCTCTTTTAAGAAAAACCTCTGCAAATTAATATTTTTTAAGAAAGGAAAAGATTTGCATATACATAAAATTAATCTTTGTATAAAAGAAATACATTTAGATTATAGAAGAATATTGAAAAACACGCCACATTCGGTATTTTCCGAACAATAACAGTCTCTGTAGAGAAAAATTGAGTTTTACATGCAAAGTTCACTTCCCAACGTGAACTTCAACCCTTTATCTACCACATTATGATTTACTGCAGTTTTTTTTTTCATGCAATATATTTTTTTGAATCACTACATTGAAAAAAATAAGGGATATACATAAACAAAATACTCAACTTTGGGAAATTTAATCCGTTATAGCTAATTAATTAATTAAAAATACTAAACTGTAAAATTAATTATACACACAGTTCATTTAAAATATATAGTCAGAGTCAGATCGTTT